AAAATTAACACTTACCTGCTTGTAATGTGAAGGTCGTGGACTTGATCAATTTACGCGTAATTTTTTTTTCTTACACTGTGAGTGGTATTATCTTTATGTTTATGGCTTATAGAGTGTCAATCATCAAGGCATTAAATTTCGCAAAATCAAATTTTATAATTTCTTGAAAAACGGAATTTGTTGCATCGCAACTCAAGAGATAGAGAAGTTCGTTCTAAATAAACTTAGACAATTTTTTTACATCCTTAGTTTTATAGGCAAAATTTAGAAATTTTCAAGAAAGTCAAAATTCAAAAATTATATTTCTTTTTTGGAAAATAGAAAACCGACTACTCTGAATTCTTGAAAACGCTGTAAGGTTATCGTAGAAATCGTAAATTGCTAATCTGTTTATCCCTCAACTCGTAGACACAATTTTAAAATTTTTTCTTATATCGAATTGTTTGTTCTACATTTAACGGAAAAATTGGTAAGCATTTAATATTTCTGTCTTTGGAGTCAGTTGTCTGTGTTGAAATAAACAATATTGACAAAAAAGAACATTGTAGGGGTGGTAAAAGCATTTCATTGTTATATACATGCACAAGTCCAATATAGAGTTTGATGAACATCACTGTCACGCAATCTGCAACTTCGCAGGGTGGGGTTAACTGCGGCGTTCGAGGCAGTCTTCTCGTCACGGATGATGTTGAATTGCGGTTCTCTGTGCGTTCCGTTCGTCGTGGAAGGAATTGCGTCACTGGTTGTAATCGTTGCCAGCAGTGACCGTACATAAGTGCAATTCGTACGGGAGGCGAGAAATTTTCGACAGAAATCAGAATCAGATAATTATTATTTATATTATAATCACTTGATTAACAATATTTCCTCCACTTTGAGTTAAAGCAAGGGAAACTTAATTTTCTTGATGTAATTTTTTCAATATTATTTCACCATTTTGTACTTATTTTTTTTTAATTACGAACTACAACACTACAAACTATAAATATCAAACAGGTCACCAGAGATTAAGAAAACAAACATGGTGTCGAATTTAATCCTGTATTCTGTTTGTATCATTTATTACGAAACCACAACCACGTTTGTGTACAAAGCTCTAAAGCAGTTATTATTTGTGCATGAAAACGTGAAATTATTTTTTCAACTTATTGCTTTAATTATATTAACATTATTTGTAGTGTAGACATTATAATTAATTAATAAAACAAACACCAAAAACATACCCAGCGCACGCTAAAATAATATCAAAGTTAGCATAATAAATTCAATGTGACAATTTAATTACATGAAACAAATTTAAATTTCAAATAATCTGACATTTGATTCAATGCAATTATTATTTTCATTAACGGTCAGTTGAACGCATACATTTAAAAATGGGTGATTATGGCCCGAAAGATAATGGTTTGTTTATCCCTCCTCCAAAAAATAACATTTCCATTTTAAAATATGCAGGCCGCATGCAAATTTACAGTTCATATTAAACTGGCTGCTACAGAATGGGTTAATTAGTACATTTCACACCGACTCTGCAAAAATGGTTATTATTAGATTAGAAAAAAATTCATTCCGCTCGTTTTTGACTAATATTTTATAATTTTTCCTTTTAGGGTTTCCGCTGAAATTTAGCCGTGAATATAGCTTCGCAGCGACCGTAAATTGAGTTAGACTTTGTCTTATTTGTTAGATTAAATTTTAATAAAGGCTGCTTCCGTACTTTATTGCGTTGCTAAGGTCAAGCAATGTAATATTTAGACTTCATCACTTGTTGAATGTTTTCCTCATTTAACGTCTTTTTGCGCCAAATATTACTCTTAGCGGAAAATTTCATATTTATCTTAAGGAAGCTCTTTATTGCCTCTATGAATAATTAACACGGAGCCAAAAAAATGCCACTCCTACAGTCAACACCTAATATTACCTGCTAATTGCAAAGAGAAGCAATAATTATTTCATGTTTAAACTTTGTTTTACAAATATATTGTCTTATTACCTATAAACGTGGATAAAATTCCCCCAAACGACAGTTCGAAATTGGTAGATTCTCAAACACCGATATATGAATAAGTTCGACCGGCATCGATTATTGTGAAATTGTATTAAATAAACAGTTTTCTCATATATCTAGTTACACCTATTATTACTATTATTATTTACACATGTTGCTTGATGCCAGCAACTAACTCAAAACCATAAACTTCTCCACAAACGTTAATTATTAAAAAATGCAAATCCAATTCGTTCTAAAAACGAGGTCAGCCAAATTTTCCCAATAAATTTGATATAAATATGTCCCCCGGGCAGCCAATATCCATAAGCGGAAAAACCGTCAGTTAGCGTTATTTTAATGAGGCTCCGTTAATTTCCTTGAAAAATTTAATATAGTCTAGCAGTCAATATTGGCGAGCAATTTAATCCAATCATCCTCCTCTCTCGTGGGCCACCGATGAGATCTTTAATTAAAAAAACCATTAAAGAAATATTTGTCTGCAATGATAGAGGGGCGCAAAGTGGAAAGGTGATTGATTGATCAAGAGCTCGCTCTCATATCCGCGCAATTGAATCTAATCTCTTCTCAAAGGGTTTCAGCACATCCGCTCCGATTGAAATCCGTCCCCATTTAAATTCGGATATTTAGTGTACTGTGCACGACTGCTGTCCGGCTGCTCTAGATTTGTACTAGCTGCTCTATTACGGAAATGACCAATCACGTTAAAGCATAAGGACTCAATAATGTATATTGTGTGCACGATGATTTATATATACACGTATACATTATATAATGCATGTTGAATATGACAGTTTTGTGTAAAATATGTACAATTATTAAACAAATTCTGTAAACAAACAAATAACACAAAAGTTAAAGAAATAGTCTACTACAGTTTACTATGACATATTTTTCTAATTAATTCCTACACAGACGTCTAAAACTTGAGCAATATTTACCAATAAGACTTAAAAACTAATACTTTTTTACAGAAAGTTTAAACACTTTTTAAATATTGCTTGCCCCAATTTTCCTAGAACTTTTACAGAGTTTTTCCTGAATTCTTTTGCAAGTTTATCGATTCGGTTGCAATTTGTTTTAATGAAGAGAAGTTCATTCCATAAACATCCATTTGTCCAACGACATCTTTCATGATAGTCACAAAGTCATGACAATTAATTTAATTTAATGTTTTTTTTCTGTCAATATTTTTGTTATTTTCATGTTTATATATATTATTTTTAATATTATTCTGTAACTGGGCATGGTCCCGTTGAATAATAAATTACTATTACTATTACTATTACTATTTTGAATAGTTTAAATTCTTTTTATACTTGTATTGTCCTCTGCATAAAACTGTACATTAAATTCCCTCATATTTTGCAAACAGTTAACGTAAAATATTGCTGCTTGCGTGTGCTTAGAAGTGGTTCAGACGGCAAAGGTCTTTCAGGTAATTTTTCTCCATACAACTGAAATTTTAATGGGCACTTAAAAATTTTAGTTTATATAAGTAATGAGGCTACTTACTTAGGAAACCAGTATCTGTTCTTCTTTGGTATTGAATAAAATTCTTGTGCTGAATATGTTACTGGGTTTAACCATGTACGTTGTAGAACCTGAGAGCATTTTTTTTCCTATTTGAACTACGTTAGGGTGAATGAGAAAACACATTTTTTAAGAACACGGGTAACTTGAAAGAAAGTTCACATACTTCATGAATGTTAAATGTGAGTTTAGAATCTAAATCAACTGTTGCATCATATCTTCTTCAAAATTTCTTGTTTATTGAGAATACAAAATGAACTGCTTGTATCTTTCGAGAAACCATCATAGACTGTATTTAGGTACAGAAATTTGAATTACCCCAATTAAAGACAGTATTGATATGTTTTCGCCTACGTAGAGTAAACATTGAGAAACTAACATCATTAAGAAGTATTAAAAAATGAAAGGTTCCAAATTCGACCTCTGGGACACCCCCAGAGAAGAACTGAAATGATTTCAAACCAGGATATCAATATTGTATTGTCATATCTAGCACCTCACTTATAGCGGAAAGTTATGCGAGATATTTTCCAACATCGCGGGTATACTGATTCCTGGAGAACAAGACTGAAGATGTGAGGAGACGTGTTTGAAAAGAGCATCCACAGCTTTTTTGAGGGATGTCTGGAAGCAAATCCATTCCCGTCGTAAATTTGGTTTTAAACCACGAGTAGCGTAAATATTGATGAAGACGCTTTCATGACTTGGGCAGTAATTTGAACTGTTGAAAATTTAGTGAAGGAAGAGGTACATCAATGGGTTTTGCAAATACAGATGTAAAGTTCGTTGCAGATGCATTTGTAATGTCTCTCGATGGCTCCAACTTCATACCGTAATTTTGCATCCTTCCAGAAATGCTTTTTTGCTTGCTGATAAAGACCATGTTTTTAACATAAATAAAGCTCAAATAGTGGGCCTTTATGAGTCAATTCAAACGCAGCTTCATAATCATAATCAAGCCGAGTGAGTAACAAAATATTTTATGCAAAACTTAACAATAACTAAAGAAAGATAACCCTAACCTTAAAAAGTATTATCATCTCCGAAAGGTCGACTTGGATGATAAAATTGTACGTGTAAACGAAATAAGCAACCCAAATAACAGCGAGATCTGAAGGGTAGTAGGTAGTAAGTTAAAACAGATGAAAATTAGTACATTGTAAAAAGTCCGAAGAAAGCGACTTTTCAACAGACAAAGGTAAACGTAAAAGAGGAAACGAGAAGGAAAAAGCCAAAGAAAGCTTTAAGAAAAGTAGAAAAACACAAAAACGCCACCTAAATAGAAGAAAGGCACCACAAGCCTAGATACATCAGATACAGAGCCAACAAAAATAAGAAGGTTGATGAAAGAGATACTTAAGGAATTAAAAGAAATAAGGAAAGAAAATCAAGAAGCAAACGAAGAAATAAAAACAGAAAGGATAATAAAGAATTAAAGCAGGAGATACAGGAATTAAAGATGAAAGTGGGGAAAATAAAAGTATTAGAGAACAAAATGGAAAAAATGGAAAAAGAGAACAAAAAGAATAATGTAATAATAACAGGGATGGAAATTAATAACAACAATGAGGAAGAAATTATAACAAAAGCGGAGGAAATCATAAAACACCTAAAAGTAGAAGCAAAAATAAAGAAAACCAAAAGAATAAAGGGAACAATGTGCGTAATAGAAATGGAAACATTTCAACAGAAATTGAAAGTAATGGAACACAAGTGGAAATTAAGCAACATACAAAGTGGGAAGATATTTATCACCAGCGATCTTACTGAAAGGGAAAGACAGATACAAAAAGAAATAAAAGAAATAAGGGACGAAGAAAAGAAAAAGAACTCTAATGTAAAAATGGGATATCAGAGGCTGTTTGTGGGGGGAAAGAAATACATATGGAATAAAGAGAAGAAGTGCCTGGAAGACAATACAGGTAAAATAAGAACCACTCCAAAAAACTAAGAAAAGAGATGGCTACGCAGAAGATAAGGGCAACAACACGGCGAGATTATAGCATGTGGAAACTGGGAGTATGGAATACAAAAAGTCTGAATCGGAAAGGAAATGAGATTATTTATTAATTCAGCAAAACAAACCTAGACATACTAATACTGACAGAAACGAAGAAGAGAGGAAACGGAGAAATTAAAATAGAAGATGGACAGATACTAATATATCAGGGAGTAGAACATAATAAAAGAGCAACAGAAGGACAAAAAATTAGCAAAGAATATCACAAGCTGGAAAGAATGGATAGAAAGATTGCTAACTTTAGAACTTACTATAAGAAAACAAAAAGCTACTGTTATAGCGGCCTACGGACCGAACGAAAACGAGAAAAAAAGAAGTAAAAGACAAATTCTGGGAGGACCTAACAATTGTTACAGAGGCCAGCACGGGAGAAATATTGGTAGCAGGAGGTCTCAATGCGTAGGTAGAGTAGGAATAAGGAAGAACGAGACAGAATTTGTTCTAGGAAGACATGGTGAAATAACGAGAAATTACAATGGAAAAAGAATCATAAGAGTATTGCACAAACAATAATCTAATTATAACCAATACCTTCTACGAGCACAAAGATATACATAAATACACGCGAGTAGTAGCAAACAGGAACGAAAAATCTATTATTGACTATATATTGGTTGAAAAGTGTAATAGAAAGGCGATTCTAGATGTAAAGGTTATGAGAGGAGCAGAGATAGACAGTGATCATTTTCTACTAGTAGGGGAAATTAAACAACTTAACAAAGATGGGAATGAAGGAAAAGACGACTACAGAGCGGAACAACAAGAAATATTAAAAGCATACAGATTACAAGAACAAAAAGTAGCAGAGAAATATGAAGAAGCAAGCAACAGAGAAATACAAAAAAGACAAGACAACATGAAAAGTATGTCGATCCTACAAATGTGGCAAGAAATAAAGAGAACAATAACAACAGCAGTAAGAGACGTATGTGGAGTGAGCAAAATGAATAGGCAAAACAGAAGAACAGCATGGTGGTGTGAGGAAATACAAAACCAAATAGAAATGAAAAAGAAGAGGTGGAAAGGATATCTGACAAAAAGACTAGAAGAAAAATACAATAAATACAAGCAACAAAGAAATATAGTAAAGAACATGGTGAAGGAAGCCAAAAACAAATCCTGGCAAGAATTTGGAGAAAAACTTGAAACTAACCAACCTGAAAGTTTTCTATAAAGTACTAAAGACACTAAGGAAAGGAAGAGCTGAAACTATTAAAGAAGATGATGGAAACATAATAACGAAAACAGAGGGAGTAATGGAAAGATGGCGGCGGTATTACCAAGAACTATTAGGAGCTAAAGCAGACAAGAGAAATACAGACAAAGTAGAAGAAAGAGACATAGATGAACTGAGAGAAGGTCAAGAAGAAGAAAGTCATGGGATAACAAAGGAAGAACTAGAATTGGCGATAAAAAAGATAAAAGTGGGAAAGTCCCCCGGAGATGACAAGATTACGGCAGATATGGTTAAGAAGATGGAAAACTAGGGGAAAGCAATGATATTAGAGCTCTTCAATATATTATGGGAAGAGGAGAAGATTCCTGATGATTGGGAGATAGGACAAATAGTGCCGATTCATAAAAAAGGCGATAATAAACAATGCAATAATTATAGAGGCATAACCTTGTTAAATATACCTTTAAAAATTTACGAAATAATTTTGGAGGAGAAATTAAAGAAAAAGATAGAACCCAGTTTGCTAGAGGCACAAAGCGAATTCCGCAAAGGCATTAGTGTACGAAATCATATCTTTACATTCAAACAAGTAATAACAAAAACAGTGGAATATAGTAAAAAAGCCTTTATAGCTTATTATATAGATCTGGAAAAGGCTTTTGACAAAGTCCCGAGAGAAGAAGTGTGGAACGCCTTGAACAAGCGGGGCGTAACCCAAAGCTAATAAAAGTAATAAAAAGCTTATATAAAAATACCAGGAATTATGTAGTAAGTAATAACAATGTGTCACAAGAATTCAAGACATATGAGGGATTGAGACAAGGAGACCTCTTGAGCCCAGTACTTTTTACAGTATTCATTGATGAAATCATGAGGAACTGCTGCAACAACGTCAAGAGATTACACGTAGTATACAGGCACAGTATAGAGATCAATCACAATGGACAACTCGTGTCCGCCTTTGATCTTTCTGACCCGAATTTTAAGCCGTCATCGGTAGTCGTTACCCAAAATATTTCTAGATGTCGCTACCCAATTTAAAAAGGATCACAAACGCTTCATTTTAAAATTGATTCGTGTACACAATTTACTACAGTTTGTGCAGATGAATTTTTGCAAAAGACTTAAAAATAGTGTAATAACAATAACATTTTGTAACTAGTTGATCTTAGAAATCACACAGTCTATTATAATAAATAATAATTAATTAAGCGCCCTATAACAGAGATGCCGTGTTGAAATTTAGATGTGGCCCGCTTCTCTGATTAAGATTTTACGTTTCATTAATTTCTTTTTCAAGATGGCTGTAAATGATTGTAAAATTCAACGTTATTAGAAAACGCTAATATATGTACATTTAATTTTTTTACAAAAAAAATAAACAGTAAACAATGGTTCTATGAAAACGTGAACAACGCTTTTTAAAATGTTTCTGTGAAAATTACACATAACTGCAATAATTACAGTGGAAGATCAGCCTTAAATCATCAAAACCAATGCAACTAAACTGCCAAATTTCAAATATTTCACATTAAAGTCACTAGATAACCGAAGTACCGCAGTTCAATGTCCCAATGTGTAAGAAAGAGAAGTACCTTGCGTTGCGCGCCCTCTTACGGTCACAAGACAAACGACCACCCATGAAAACGGGTCAGTAAAAATAGCGAGTTGTCCCTACTGATTCATATCTATACTGTGATGTGCATTTGTAGACGACATAGTAATATTTGCGGGAAGCGAAAGAGACCTTCGAAAGAATTTAAGTATATGGGATGAAGAACCAACTAGAAAGAAAATGAAAACAAATGTAGAAAAACTAAACTAAGGCAATAGGTAAGCAAACAAAACAAATAAACATAAGTATAAATGGAAGGAAGCTAGAACAAGTAAAACATTTCAACTCTTTGGGGATAATAATAGACGATACAGGGAGACAAGAGGCAGATATTGCAGAAAGAGTCGAAAAATGTAACAAACTATACTACGCAATCAACAACACATTCATAAACAAAAGGGAAATAAGACAGAAAACGAAAATGAGTTTATATAAAACGATATACCTACCTACTTTAACGTATGAATGCGAGACATGGGTTTTATCACAAAAAATGAAAAGCAGACTAGAAGCGAACGAAATGAAATATCTAAGACGAGTCATAGGAGTAACGTTAAGAAACCATATAAGAAGTAGCCAAATAACAGAACAATTACAAACCAAGAAACTGATGGACGCAATAGAAAGCAAACAATTCAGTTGGTGGGATCATTTTATTATTACTAGGTTTATTTTCTAGCAAAACCAAAACAGGTAAAAAATTATCTGGTCACTTAGAAATGATCATAATCTTGCGTAATGTTTTCTGAATATTTTGGGCTGAAAAAACAGTGCAAACTAAATCAAAAGTATAAACGGCAGGTATGCATAATGAAAATTTTTATATCATTGCAGTTTTTAGTAGAATTTATTTCGATTGCTTTTAAAATTACTAAGACCAAAGTAGGTCTGTTATTACTATGTCTACATGAAGAACATTAAATGACTAGTGTGCACAAGAAGGTTTTCAAATAAATAAGCTAATTCTAATATTATCAAAAGCTAAAACAAGAGTTGGAGGAGGATAGTAAATAACAATTAAATCAATTTCATACATTGTAGCAAATGATCGAAAGAAGTCACCTAATAAATCATACAAAGTATTTTTTACATAATGGTGTTGCTAGTTGACAGTTATATGAACATAAATGGCAAAATCAAAATGATTAACAAGAACAAGTCTTGACGTCGCCAACATAACTTTTTCATATCAAATTTCAAAAGTTGCTAGACGACTTTTTTTTTCGATCTTGTGGTCTGTCAACATTTGATTACAAATTCATTCAGTTTCAGTAAGAATAATTACACCTCTACCACCACCTTTATTTTTATCTATTACAATAAACTTTTTCTGTACCATATTTTTCAAAAAAAACTAAAACAGACACCTGTGTCTGCTGTGGCTCTGCATTATATTTTATGCATTTTTTACATGACTGGGCCCAGAGCAGTCTAATAGAGCAGACACAATTCTAAGTTATGAAGAGGCCACAGCGGTCACAACAGCGGACAATTTTTTTACGCCGGACACGTCGTTTTCTTGTTATGTAACTATATGTGTCCGCCGTGGCCCAGTAACATATCAAAAAATTCAGACAAAAAAGGAGGCCACAGTAGACACACATAGCGGACAGACTCTGTAAAACTAATCTGAGATATGCAAGCACCAAACTAAATGTGGAATCACATGTGCACATGCCAAGGGAGACACATATTCGCTCTATAATGCCTAATTATTTGTCTGTGTGTCCCTAGAGTAGGAAATATGAAACAGACACTGGTGACCGCTTTGGCCCCCTATGGAAAGCAGTGGTCAAACACCGGTGTCTGCTTTGGCGCTTAACATGTTAAAAAAATACAAATGTTGAATTTTGCTAAATGTTGCGATTGTAACATTTACATATTATATATTATACATATTTGATTATTTGCAAAGTAAATATAGAAAATCAAGATTTGTTTTGCCTTTTTTTTATTTACAAAATAAATTCGTATTTTAGTCCAGTCGCCTGACTAGTTTATGTCAAATAACAAAATCTAATAAATATACGATTGATATTGATTCACAATTATTATATGATTGAAAAAAGCAATATCACAACGTGTTTTATAATGTTTGCAGTTTGTAAGTATTTTTTACTTTAAATTTTTCAGTCTAATCAAGGTATAATTTGTTTTATGCGTAAACAGTTTTGCGTTTCTTGGCAATGTTTGAGCCCAGGTCTGTTGATGAAAATGATAACGAAATGCAATGTACGCCGGCGTAAATTGAAAAAAAATTATGAAACTTCTTACACAAAATTTGTGATTTTTTTTATTACGTTTCCCAATGGCCCAATTACAGGGAAACGGGGGACATACACGACACCCAGAGCCGGGTGGAAATCGAACCCACGACCCAAGATGTAGCGGGCAAGCACGAAGCTACTTAACCCACCCGGGTCCTCTCTGATTTGGTACAACAGCAAAAATACAGGGTTACCATATATGATTATATGGTCGAAGCAGTTTATGAACACGTGCCGCCTCTCAGTTTTAGGCCTTACTAAATGCCCAAGGAGGCAAGACAAATACCACACGCATCTGTATAACGGGTTGTCTAAATGCTTCATATCTTTTTAAAAAATTAAACTAATTGATTACAATAAAAAGAAACAAATTTTTTGCGTTTAAACATCACAATAAATGTTGACAATGTTCAGCTTTTGTTCAAAGCACACATTCACTTTCTTTTTAGTTTCAAAAATGTTCTGCAATCCTTTCGTCAATGCACATTGTTCAATTTGATGTTGCAACAGGAACTCCTGTCAAAGATTCTGCACAAGTCGTCTCAAATCAACAACAAATTCCTTAAATAGTTAAGGCCTTCCAGGAGATTGCTGTTTGTTGACACTGCTAGTTTGAACAAATCTGTTGATTACATCTCTAATGTGAGCCTCAAACGATGTTTCTTGAATTATTAAATCAGGGTATTTGGCCAAATATTCTTCATTACACGCGAAGAAGAAACAAAATTTTCGTACGCAACGACCAAAAGTTTTGAAAATGCCTGTTTTATTGTTTTAAGCTTGGATCAACGAGAATTATTGTAATTCATACTTCAAAAACGTTAAAGCATTAAAAACAACGACTTTAACTGACAGGTTACAAATGAGATTAATGACAACTGAGAATTGTCAAAATGAGGCATAATTTCAGCGAAGCAGGATTTTTTAAATCCATGCCCAACTACGCCCTTAGAAACATTATAACAGCCCTGTATAACTGTTTATTCAGACAACGTTTTATTGGGATATTTTCTGGAAATCAGGAAATTAGAAATTAAAAGTTCCACAATGTGATCACGCATTACTCCATGATAAAGGTATTGATTAGAAATGGCGTTGACATCAGCACATTTCAA